CAAAGAATGATGTTGAGAGAGAGAAAATCTACACTTCATGTTGATGCAATAATAGCAGAATTTGCACCTCATGTTCATGGTTTGTATTGTGTACTGCAGTAATCCATTCAGTAGATAAAATACTATTATTTTCCCTTCGTCTTTTGATTCAAAACTCTAGTTTAAAGGTAACTGTCATTTTTAAGTCAATCCTAGAGAAAGGTATTTGTGTCTGAGAATATGGCAACTGCAGATTCCCCAGTTGCTCATTGATCTAGGTACCCATGATCATCCAGCACCTCTGTATGACTTTCCATGGCCTCTCAACCCTTGCACAGGTGTGGCTGAAGTCCACAATACACACCATACTCTGTAGTCAGACTAGCAGAAACTAATCCCAGACAAGTGGAAGGTAGAAAACTGCAAAACATCTAGTACACATTGACTATGCCAATATCTGCATCCTGATGGCTAGCAATTGAAATTTAAGTAAACGTGAACCAAGACTCCAAACACACCATACTTGCTTAGCAAGGACAGTGCATTCATGTCACACAGGAGTAGGCAGCACTTCTCTTCTTTTGGCAAGTTTGCACAGCTATCATGTCAAGTATATTGCCACATGGTGTTGTCCTCATGAGCTTATTGTTGTCTGAGCAAGTGCTTAATGGAAGTTTCCTAGCAGATGATGGTCATCTATGAATATGAATTTTTTTTGTGGGTAACTCACATGAGACTTAACTGCCATGCACAATCCAGCCCTGGCAATAACATGAAGAGGCATTCATAAGGAATCAACAGTTTGAAGCACAATGCCCCCTGATTGGAGTCGCTGTCTCACCTCATAGCCATTTTCCTCAATCTATGAACAATTGGGTGGTAGTGAGACCTACCTATTTTTAAACATAGGGATATGAGATGTTGACAGAAATTATTTTATATCTAACTAACTCTTTTTTGAGTACGTTTTACGGTCTGTTTCGCCTACCATTTTGTCTGGAAGTGTCCATGTCTTGACTTATTACCGTCAGTACTTCCGTTAAGTCGTCCACTACGAAACAGGAAAGTCGAGCATCTCCCCCCCATTTCCCACATGCCCACTTATCGATTTGGAAGAGGTGCCGGTCGTATTTCCAACAGCAGTGAAGTCCTGACATCAAGGAAACGGTCTGTGAAAGAAATGATTAAAAATGACACATGATGACAATGCATGTGAAAGGAATATTACAGGTACTTGAACACCAATTAAGTTCTGGAACAAAACTGTTTATGTTATAGTGCTGGTTTACCACAGTGATGTTGGTTAAATTGCTGAGGTTCTCACATTCCATGAGAGGATTTATTTAAATATCAATTAAAGAAGCCATGTGCTTCAAGAACAAGGATTGTTCAACTGATCATCTTCTTCAAAACCAATACATAACAACTTCATGCCTAGGCTTTTCATTTACTTAAGAATTTACAAATTTATTTTTATTCTAATTTCAAGGGAACAGGCTTCAAGTAATTTCACTAACAACAATGTACACTTTAAATGTAAGCTGCTCATGAATACTGTAATTTTGCTCACATTTTGGACATAGGATTGTGCAAAAAGGCTGCATGAGCAAATAAACACTAATAGCATGAACACATACCTCATATAAGAGAAAAGCATCTGGTACCCTTTTCAGCATCCATATCTAATACCACAGAATAAACCAAAGGTTTGAAAACATAGTTTCTTCACACTTTTAGCAATAAGGGCCTACTTTCATGCCAGAAGTATTGCAACTTTACCAATAAGTAGTCATTTATTTAGCTGAAAGAGTACTTCAGGCAAGAAGTGATGGGAGGTAAGACAGACATAAGTGGAAGTCTTAATAGTGCAAGACCAGAAAGAAAGTAATAGGAAGGTAAAGAAACTTCAGAGAAAAACATGTCACCCTTTCACTCATCTGAATGAAAGCATCTTTAAGAGGTTTGGCTTGAGGCCTTATATACCAATCGATTGCTGGGGATCACATGCACATACCACACATGAAATCAATACCCTCAAGTGGAAATCTTGAGACAGGAGCACATCTTTAACTTCAAGAAAATGCATGGCTCAATAGATGAAGGTTGAGGGAAAGATTCTCTACCCTGGATGGAGAATAATGGAAGTTACCTCAATAGGCTAATTAATTAACCTGAACTGGGACTAAGAAGGTAAAGACAAGTCCTGAGTTGTGTATCCAGAGTCTGAAGGCTCTGCAAGATAGGTCCATGTTTACATCAGGAATATTTGGCTCATGTGGTCCGAGCTGGACCGTCCACTCGTGTCGTGGACGTTTAGGATGCCCGACATTCATCTCGTGTGAATCGAGCACGATTGACATTTGGACCAGCTTGTCTCACGTTTATACGACAGTCTACCTTACACCGTAAACCGGTATAGGTACGATCATCGTTGATAACAGTAGATGAAAACATAGACCCTCGTACACTTTCTAGGAACGGTTGGTTTGTTCTTTTCCGCTTAATGACAGCAAGACTCCAATGTGCACAGTTGAACAAACTGCTCGCCACTAGAGTGAATGGATTGAATGCAGTGGTGTAGTGAGGGAATGGCTAGGGGGCTGAAGCCACCCTCCCCAAGTTTGGTTCTAGCCTCACCAACTCTGCTCTTAATGCACTTGCCACCCCCTCCCCTCCTGGTCAGAGAAGTTATAACCCCCCTCTTTGGTGAAATCCTGGTCACTAAATTCTTACCCAGTTAACCCTATTGCCAACACTTGTAAGGGTCTATAATAACTTATTTTTTTTATATTGCATTGATAAGCTTTCTATTCCTTTTGTCAGGGTGCACAAATTTCACTTGTCACTAGAGCAATCCCCATAGAAAATGTTAATGTGGCTGTGGTATGTCGCTGAATTCAGGCCTAGGTAGGATGTTAGCCAGCTGTTCCAGTTCCCAGTGAACTGGGAGCTCCTTACACCAAAGTGTGCATTGTTAACTGACAGTATACCCATTTAAACAGCAGAGTAATTTATATAAATCCTTTTCTGATACTTGATTGTACAAGCAGGTAGGCCAAGTCCCTGCCAGTCCTGACATCATACTCTTCCCATGGGGTCCAAGAATGGTGTTTTGTGATGGAAGGTGTGAAGTGACGCCTGTGAGGCAGTTAGAGAGCCTGCCATGCTTAGTCCTGCATCCTCCACGAGGGGGTGGAGAGAGTTCAAAGGCTCCTTGTCTTGAAAAAACACCAAACATATAGCTAAATCTTTCAATGCTGTTCCACATGAACCTTTTCAGCATAACCACCCTTGACCACTTCTGCTATTGCTCCATGCATTACTTCAAGAAACAGACAGCTACTTTAGCAAACTGGCTTAAACCAAGGGCAGTCTTTAGGTACCATTGTTCAACAGCAGGATCACAGGAGCCATGTTGAAAAACAGGGTCACTCCATCCATATCCAAAAGTGTGCGTGATAACAATAGGACAATCTCACCATCATTCAGCCATCTAAGCAACCCTTGACCTTGGTTGGGAATTCAACTTCATCTACTATTACTTAAAATATTATTTCATTTGACATCTTCTCCAAGAAATTAAATATTTATTTCATGAAAAAAATATGTTTAGGCACTGCCCATGTATCAGATGCAAGGCAATGAACAAATATAATTTTTTTTAAAATGATTTCCTACTGGGATTAAGAAGCTGGAAGAGCAAAGAAGTTGGTGCAGGTTAAGGGCAGTTAAGCCAAAAGAGTGGCATTCTTTGTCCATCACACAGGGATTAGTGGTGATGCCTTAATCACAAGATACCACGCAAGGACCTTATGAAATAATGTACGGCCTGTGCCCACAGGTACTAATCCTACCGCTTCAGACCAATTTTCAGGAATGGATTGAAGTATGACAATTCTCTGATAATCATGATGAATCTTCAATGATACCATTGATTCCTCCATATACAGCCTGAATATTAACAAACTTCAATGCTGCAATACTTTGAAAGTCAGGGAACACCTCAGCCCCTCCCTCCTTAAACTCCAATTAAGGGATCCTTGGTTCAGGGCTCTCCACCGTACTCCCCCCTTGCACTGAGACTTGGCTCTTGCATTTGCTCCCATGAGAACTCCTTAAACTCCAATTAAGGGATCCTTGGTTCAGGGCTCTCCACTGTACTCCCCCCTTGCACTGAGACTTGGCTCTTGCATTTGCTCCCATGAGACCAGTACATCATGAAAGCAGAGGAAGATCACCACAAACTCCATCCATCACCGGGTTGACAAAAGTTCCAGGTGCGATTCGGGGTTTCGCAGCCATCTGTGCTGCAGTATCAGTAGGCACTCATGATAATGAATGCTGCTTTTGGAGGGGATGGGACAACTAATGATGGGGATAAGTGTTTACTTATATCTGGCAAGATTGATAATTTTTTTAGAGTCAATCACAACATCTGTAACTATCACAGTACTACAACCTGGTTCCAATAATTTTGGTGAGGCAGTGGACTATTGGATTACTCCGGTAGGAAAAAGAACTCTGTGACTTCACTTTGGACTTTCATCGTACCTTTAGGCGACACGCACCGGATGGGTCGTGCCGACTGGAAGCGGTTCTCGTGGATCTCGATTGCCTTCCTAGGACTGCTGATGCACTGAGAAGGTCCTCTCAGAATGGCATCTTTCCATTTGATCATAGTTTCACTGCCTGAAGGAAAGGATTCCATTTAGTGCCATATTTTATTTATTCAGCTGTTTGATAATATAACATAAAAAGGCCAGTATGAATAATCAGCAGAGATTGTTAAATCTAGTCCTGGAAATTAAAACTACATTCTTCCTTCTCTAGTTCCCAACATTGACTCCAGGAACTACTGTAACATGCTTAAACCTTTGGAGAGAAGTGACCATAGGCTCCTCCATGCATAGGCACCAAGGTTGATCAGTATTCAATCTTTCTATGCACATGATTGTCTGAATTGAGTGAAAAGCATTAATAAGATTTAACTTGATTCCAAAAATTTTGTGATTCACATTAATTTTCAGCCTGAATTTGAAAGGCATCTTTGGAATGAGATTTAAAGCAACACCAAAACAAGTTTACAATATAACTTTGTGCATGGGCAAACTTGAAATGAGAAATCGATGTGCAAGCAGTGATGCAAGGACACATTGCTTGATAAAAAGTTCAGCTGACAGTTGTGGTCTACATACAGATCCCAAGGAAGGGTGAACAAAGAGAAACCCTCTACTTTTACATAAACTCCTAGGGTGGGGTCTTGTACTCCCTTTAAGTCCTAAAAGACCTTTTAGGTCCATTGCCAGCAAGGACTAAAAGCCTGTAAGCAGCTAAAAGGGCGTACAAGAACCCACCCCTTGTCTCATTCCAGGTTTCTGTTATGAAACAGGTATTCTATTCCTTTGGTTTTTACCAAATGGAAACACTAAAATGGGCAGAAAAAGGATGAGATTGAATTAAGAGGATGAAAATATTCACTCAAGCACCAGGCCACAATTGGACAGTAGCTGAGGCATCCCCCCTGATCAAACTGAATGGTTTAAAGATGGGAATCTGACTCATCTATATTATGGTATCAGATGGCAAAGACTGCATGACTCATCCATGCAAGCTTCAACTCACCTTTTTCCCTTCTTTCAATGTGCAAAGGTCATTTTCACCATGATGCATCAAAGTGTCCATTGGAAAATGAAAAAAAAGAAAGTGCCAATAAGTGAATGCACTCCTGAGATTTCAGTTGCCTCGGCTGCTCAGCAACGGTGTCTCTAAAAGCATGGAAAAAAGGCAGCGTAAATTGAACGTGGAAAACCACCTGCTAGTTCAGGCCAAGGCTTATACAAACGGCCTGCAGACCTTTAGGCCTGCCATAAATATAACGTTTGCAGCATGTACAAAGTTTTAACATTGCATCGGGTTCAACATCATGCTAAACACATGGGCCCCTTCTAATCCCACCTCAAAACCCTGAGGAAGAACGAACACGCCCGTGGAAAGCCTGCCAAAAGAGAGCATTCCCCCCACGGCCAGCTCATCCAATCGGCTCCGGCCTAGGCCGGACCCGTACCTCCCGAACACGCGGCGCCGCTCACGTGGCGCGCCCGTGGACGTCGCATCGTGACGTCATCGTGACGTATCGCGCATAGTCTGCTCCGGCAACAATAGAATCACACGGTTCCGCGATCTCACCGCAGACATTCCCAACCGACCAGGCCCAGACGAGACGATCCTCACTTGAACGGCCTTTTTTTCCTCGCAGCTTGTATAACTTATTTTTACTCCATTAAGTCGCTCGCTCGCATATTTCAATTTCTAACAGCGAGTTCCTGGGATTTCAATTGAGTGGCATTTTCTTTATGCGTTAGCATGAGTGTTTGCGTCTGAGTGCCTGGGCACGGAGACATTTCCCTCGAGCCTTGTTCTATTTTTATTTTGTTTCCAGAAAATCATTTACAGAAACTTAACAGTTCTCGGTGGATTGGTTTGAGGGAGATGTTACCGTCAGGAAATGGAACGCATTTCAATGGTGAGCCCTATTTTGGAAATTCTTCCGCTCCAGCGGAACGGCTGATGGGACGTTATCTGCCTCTTTTATGCCGGCAGGGATGTGTACCGTTCGATGATCTCCGAAATACCGTGTGAAGGACGTGATTTCAGCAAAAGAAATTCGTCCCGAACTGGATTAATTAAAGGCAGTGATTTAGGTGGGGAAATTCTTGGAGTAGCCGGGGTCAATTCGCCGTGGCCTTCGGTACGAAAAAAAAACTGGGAACTGCTTCGATCGATCCACTGCCAGGATTCGCCATTGGAGACGACCACGGATTTCCTAACAGTTCTTCCAAGTGCTTGGAAGGATGTTCGTCGCCTCAAACGGAAGGCAACCGCTCGTGTCCCGGGTGTGGGCGAGGCCGCCGAATGGGATCGCGTGTTCTCCGTGTACGTAAGAGGGCGCCATTATATACGGACTGACTCCAAGTAGATGAGTACCGGTGAGATTCGGAAGGATTAGGCTGTTCAGCAACAATAACAATGGATATATTGAATGTGTACGACTCACTCGTACAGTCTAGAGGCGCCAGGCAGGAGGGAAGTTGATAAGTCGAGGACGACGGGAATAATTTACAGGTCCCTATACGATCCAGACGTACAATACACACCGTTATACAATGTCACACGATCACATCTACTCTGTGTCTAGTCCACCATCTAGTCTCGCCTCCACCCCCTTGTCCCCGTCCGGGGGAGGTCTCTTGGAGGTAGGAGGTGTCCGGTAGGGGATGGCTCCTCCACTCCTTGGTGAGGTCCGCCGCGAAGCCCACAATCCTCGGCCCCCAAATGTTTGGGTGCCTCTTGGGCAACCAGGCGAAGCATCCGGCAAGGTGTTCCATTGAGCTCCAGGTGGAGACGTTCTCGCCTGTCTGACCTGTTCTGCTAAGAAAGAAAACGTTCCTGAACCTGAAAAATTAGGTTTTATTGCCCTTCTGAAGAAAATTTTTGAAGAAGTTGGTGGCATCATTTTTATTCTGGTTTCATTCCAGAGCATATTGCACAAGGAAAGTGTTTGTGCACAAATGGCAGGAAATGACATTTTGAATGACTTGATGAACACAGTAATTAAAATCGTCAATTACCTTCGCAGCAACAGTGCTCTGGTTCATCAACAGTTTGAGGAATCATTGAAGGAACTTGATTATTGTTTTTTCGATGACGTAGTTTACTTCGCAAATGCTCCATGGTTCAGTCGTGGAAAGGTTCTGGAGCGGTTCACTGTCTTGTTTCCTCAAATTCAAGAGTTTCTCGTTGAAAAACGACAAACTGAGAAATTCTCAGAAATCGAAAGTGAAGAATGGCAATGCGATTTGCGGTCTTTGTCTGATGTTATAGGTCATTTGAATGAACGCAACACGAAACTTCAGGGAAAAGGAAAAATCATTTATCAGCAAGCCCAAAGCATTCGTGAGTTGAAGTCGAAACTCAATCTTCTGCTCATACAAGTCCAGAAACAGGATTTCACACACTTTCCAAATCTGGCAAGTTATCCTAACAAAACTAAGGGGATGGATTTTTAACTGGATAAGCTGCAGCACTATGTAGCCCGGCTGAAGAATCTGATTCAGAAAATTGAGCTGCCCCTCTCTGACTTTGAAAAAATCAACTTGGCTTTTCCGTTATTGAAAGATCCATTCGATTTCAACGCTGAAAAAATCGACTGAAGAACTCGTCAGTTTGCTTTGCTTGGACAAGAGTGGATTCGAAGCTGACATGCTTTTTCCTGCAAAGCCAGATGCACTCACAAATTCAACTCAAGAATCAGTATTTATATTATATACATCATTTCATTCATTTCCTCGGAGAAGCAACGGACGTCCTATCTCCTCAAAATCTTAGCTTGTAAAAGTGAAACAAGTATTCTCAGGCGTGCCACGAGCCTTCCTCATGATCCGTCCTATGCGCTAGATTTAGCGGCAAGTGACATCTGCCTGGTTGGCAAGCTAAAGGATTCCTTGCGAGGAAAAAGAAAGTGACATTTTCTTCTGACATTCCGTGATAGTCTGGAGCACAAGCGAATAATCAAAGCGTTATCTAATATACAATATATATAGTAGACGATCATAACAGACTGACTGACTGACTGACGCTAATTCTAACAATGTTCTTGAAGGGTTAGAAATCTGAAACTTGGTACACGTGTACCTTTGGGATGCAGAGTTCAGAAAAAATCGGACTTTGGGGATACATGCCCTGGGGGTACACATTTTGGGGGAAACGTTTTTTTATTTAAATATTTTGTGACAGATGAGGATGGCACTGAGAGACGCAACTGGATGGCCTGGGTTCGGTGGTGTAGTAGTAGCATAGACAAGCAAGCAGAAGGTCTGCGTTCAATTCCCAGCCATTCATGGCTTTCTTTTGGCGTTTTTTTGCCTTCCATTTTCCCGTTACTCATTCCCCCTCCATAACATTATTTTTGCTTGAGTAAAACGGAGAGACATGGAAAGCTGAAACCTGGCATGGAGGTGCCTACCGAGACGATGAGTTCAGGAAAAAATGCAACATTTTAGATCCATGACCTGGGGGCATATTTTTGTGAGCCGACGTTTTCAAGTATTATTTTTTTGTCTTGGTGTATTGAGCTGGTGTGGCTGGTATTAAGTAAAAGTGATTCATCAAAGTGTGATGCACGATGCGATTAAGGTTATACAGTCAATGTCCGTTCCTGACTTTGTTCCTTCAGCGTGAAAGGAGGATGGCGACAAACATTTCCATCAAGTCGTAGAGGGTGAGGAGAGAAATACCGAGGGTTATCCCCAGACCTCCACCCAGTTCCCCAAGCAATTCAAGGATGTCGTAGGACCACTGCTCTTCCAGTATTTCTACCGCTATCGACGGAAAGTAGATGTTGAGTGCGATATTAGGAATGAGATGTGGTGATGTGTCTATTTGGAGATCCAGGGAGGGACGGAACCAAGTGGATCGGCATCGGAGGGGACATCTCTTGCTGCACGAGGAAACATTTCTTCTTCTGACCAGGTCTTCGTACTCCTGAATGAACTTCGTGTATTCCTCCGCTTTCCGACACAATGGCTTCATTGATACGTTCAACCAAGGACCCACACACTGGGATTCCAGGCTTAACATCAGACAGTCTTCCATGCACTAAAAAAATGTTCATTTAAAATGCATACTGTAAGGTAACGATACCGCCAGGAGATGAAATCGTCGTTGATCTACCTGGACGTAGCTATAGCTGGGATCATCGCTGCAAGGGGACTTCGGAGTATTCAAGGAAATCATTCGGACTGGTCGAAGTTTGATGTCCTGCTGCAGGTGTACTGAGTTCAGCACCACCAGCTCCGACTTGGACTGAATCCTTTGGAATTCCGTTACCTGGCATCAGGGATCAGGCGCAATCTTCAGAACTAATGAGTTTGAAGTTTGTAACACATCAAATCAGATCTACAAACGTCGAGCATGTTGCTATTGCTCTCTGCAAGGTTCAGAATAGCAAATATACCATTTTTTTCTCTTTTATTTTGCACCCCTTGTACGAAGAATCTTACCTTCCATTTTATAAGACACATACTGCTTCGGTTCCGCCCGAGTCCTTGATAATCTGAATCTCTGTTAATTTTCCACACCTTGAGAGTAGTCTTTCCTGTCTCCATTCGTCAGCATTTACTGCAGTACAAAACAAATTTAGATACTCATTATTTTTGTATCCTAGCGGAATGTCATTGGGATCGATGACTATCCAGGAGAAGGAGACTCCCCTGGGCAGTCCCCATCAACTGATGATGATTGATGAGGATGAATTGTGAGGCATACGAATTAAAGAAGGAAATAAGTACTGTTAAAATTCAGAAAGTTAAAGAGGAATATAGCTTCAATCCGGCTTTAGAGTTTCTTCCTGTCATTCCTATAGATTTCAGCCTTGATGTTCCACAGTTTGGAGGAAGTTGCTTTCCAGTCCCTGGAGAAAGCGTAATGTCCTCAAAGAAGCAAAAATTGTACTTCTTGCGGCAGAATGACTAGTTGTACAAGATTCATGCGAAGATAACCGTCGC